CACCCCCAGATACAGAAGGCAACAAAAGAGAACAAAAAACAACCCACCCAGGGTGGGCGGAGGGAGAACAAAAGAAAACAAGAACAGAGTCCCAGACACAACAAAAAACAACCTCTCTGGGGGCCGGCTGTGGGGCCGCGAAGCAAAGTCTCTGGGGGCCGGCCGTGGGCTGACGGTGAAGCAAAGACTCTGGGGGCCAGTCGTGGGGCCGGCGGCGGAGCAAAGACTCTGGGGGCCGGCCATGGCCCCCAGGAGGACCCTTGAAGGAAGCCGTCTCTGATGTAGAGGCAGGGGAGGGCACCATCTGTGCTGCTGCAGGGGGGCCTCTGGCAGAGACCTGTGACACCGTTTCTAAAGAAAGGGGACCTCTCAGATGTTTTAGACAAAGGGGGACCTCTGGAGGAGGCCGGTGAAGCCGTCTCTGAAGAAGGGGGGCCTCTGGAGGAGCTTTCAATTCATATAGTGGCATCTGGCTGCTTTTTTCAAAGGTTTCTTTATACTTTTATATTTTAAGTAGATTTTAGAGCTCATACTTTTTCACTTTTATTTGAGTAAAGAGGTCAAGTTGATACTTCAACTTTTACCACAGTATTTTTTTAAATGCAGTATCTGTACTTCTACTTAAGTAACAAATGTGTGTACTTTTGAAACCACTGTCTTTGATGAAGATAATAGTTTTGCCAACTCTGAAAGTTCAATTGGATCTAAGCAGTCTAAACCTGGTTCAGATTCTATGGCTACCTCAGATGCTGCCTCACCTTCCAGAGATAAACAATCATAGTTAGAGGATTGCTGATGAACTTATCTTTAATAGAATCGCCCATAAGAGAATAACCCATATATGATCCCATAAATTATAACAGCAGGGAGAACTGACAGTTCACAAGAGATAGAGCTCTGGGTGGGTATGGGAACTGTACTGAAAAGAAAGCTAGGGTTATCGGCGTGGAGGTGGCGCAGTGGTTAGTGCGCACGACCCATGTGCGGAAGCCTTAGTCCTTGACACGGCCGACCCGGGTTCGTATCTGACCTGTGGTCCTTTGCTGCATGTCTTTCTCATATCCCCTTTCCTGTCAGCCTCGTGTCGAAAAAAACGAGCCACTAGTGCCGCAAGAACTAGGATTATTCTTATTTTGTTCAGTGATACAGAGGCACACCCCTCCTGATGAGCTTTTAAAGGATGAACTATATCCATTCAACTTCCTGTTGCTCTTCTTATATATAAAGTAAAAGTAAACAACATATATTCACCATTGTCATACTTGGTCATCATTATTCATCTTAGACACAAACAATAACAAAAACAAAAGACAGCATGCAAGGATGAATAAAAAAGAAAAGACGTTTCGTTTCATAGCTTATTCGGCTTGTGGTGTCTGAACGGCGGCGCTATGAGCCTCACAGTGATGGGGTAATTTGCGGTCATTTGAGCTTTGGTTTGCTTTTTATACCAGGAGAATAACATTAACACTAGAAAACCCACAGTTACGAGAATTTTCGCCAGCCTCCAAACCTACCAACAGTACTTCACAACTCATGAATCCCTTTTCAGATGTAAATGCCCTATTAGGGCTGTTGCTGTAGAACCATTCCACCCCCTTCAGTTTCGGTTTCAGCTAAAGTCTCCCTCTTTGAGACTATTTTACCTGAAAGCTGGGGGGAAAATCATATTTGTAATTAAATATAACTAGGTTTACGTCAACAGTGTCGCTAACAGCGCAATGATTTCAGCACAGCTACCAGCGCAGCGATAAGACGATAACTGATCTGTACAATGAAAATAGCTGCATGAGCTGGAACTCTGTAGAAAGCAACAATATTTATATAATAATGATCATTTATAGAATAATGAGCATTATTTATTTGGGGGGAAATATAACTCAAGCAATCTCTCACCTCTCTCTCCTCTCTCCTACGCTGCAAACATGCAGACAGCATTGTGAGACTGCAGTTAAGTTGGCAATATATGCACAGATTCGGCATTTCCGGATTAATAACTTGTCTGCTGATGATTTATTCTACAAAACAGACACCTCCCCGCAATTATCAAATTTATTGTATTAGAAAATAACACCTGTCTGAGGAACTTCCAAAAACCTAAATGACAAATGGCACCTCTATTCTATTATTATAACAAGAATAAAATGAGCAATGACTACACTATATATCACTGTAGCGCCTCCAAACTTGTAGGATACACAGATAACCTCATCTGGATCATACTAAAACTCTTACTTTGGGAAGATAGGACAAACTGTACAGTCATGGTAAAAAGTATTGAGAATTACACAAATATTATATTTTCACATGACCTGCTGCCCTTTGGTTTTCATGTGTGTATGTCAGATGTTGTCATCACATACAGAAATACAATTGCAATCAAGTTATAAGTAACAAAAGCTTTTAATAACAGTTAGAATGAGTTAAAGCAGCAATTCAATATTTGCAGTGTTGACCCCTCTTCTTCAGGACCCCTGCAATTCTCCCTGGCATGCTCTCAATCCACTTCTGGACCAAATCCA